CATAGTGTCCCGGAGATTCTGATATATTTGGTCTGTTTTTTCATTTACCTCTATGAATTTTTTAATCTCCTCCTTGATATCTTCTATAACCCATTGTTCATTCAATAGCATATTTTTCAGTCTCTATTTGATGCAGAAATTGATTTCCAATTTCATTCCATTATGATCTGATAAAATGCATACTACTATCTCTACTCTTTTGTATTAGTTAAGAGCCTTAGTGATTTAGTGAGACCATCTCAAAATAAACAAATGAAGAGGGCTAGGAATGGAGCTCAATGGTAAAGCATCCCTAGGTTCAATCCATAATTCCAAAAATATATATATATCTTTTTAAGCAACAGGACCGCTGCAGTCTTGTGTCAAGTGTTCCAAAGCAATCAAAAGTGACATTTTGAGTTTTAGCAGTTTTCCCACAGATCAGCTTATGGTCTTGCAAAAAAAAAAAAAAAAAGTCTGTGACAGTCGGCTCTTCCAAGCTTCAGTTTCTCCTTGGCTCTGTGGCCTTTTCTCCACTTATTCACATGTCCTTGACCACTCTAAGCTTTTCTTTGTGTCCAGTTGCATTCTTTGTTTCTTCTGACTCCAGCTCCATTTTTCTTTTTCACTGCTATTACTGACAAGGGTGACCTACTTTGATTTGTAGGTGTCCTGTCTCTCCCATTGCAAAGACCGCTACAGTGTCTTGTGCCACAGACAATCCTTCCCCCCTCACTTATTTTGGGAATTTGCTTCCCTAATATCAGGTATATTACTAAACCTGTAGTCTCCTAAATTCTCAATTTTTCCAAGATTCCAAAGACTTTCACTTAGCTTTTCAAGTTAAAGTCTAATAAAGGAGCTTGCTCCCTCCTATGAACCTTCTGGCCACTAAATGATGACATCCCATTAAAGTCAACATAGAAATTAATCAGATGCTTAATTTTTCATGTCTTAAATTATGGACAACAGGTATCAGGGAGGTGATTATTATAAGCATCAATCTGATAACACCAGAAGGCTCCTGGACATGCTAAGAATCCTCAAACAGTAATCTAGGCTGACATGTTAACTCTGCGGTGGTATAGAAATTCTTATCAAATGAAATGCAGTGCCTACCATTAGACTTAGACATCAGAATTTTAGAATTCCCCAGGCCATTCCAAGGTACATATAAGTTAGGAAACCAGGGCATTTATTTTTTAACCTCACATGTATGAATTTCTTTTTTTAAATTTTATTTTCAATTTGTTTTAATTAGTTATATGTTGTAGTAGATTGCATTTTGTCACATTGCACACAAATGGAGCACAACTTCTTCCCTTCTGGCTGAACATGGTGCAGAGTCATACTGGTAGTGTAATCATAGGTGTGTGAATTTCAATTCATATGGAATTCATGTAAATTGTTTAGCTTCTTTTCACATACTTAGCCATTCAGATTTTATCTCTGCTCACATACTCTGAACATTTTTTCAATTGAGCTTTGTTTTCTTTTTATTGATTTGTAAAATGTCTTAATATTCTGGATACTAGTCTGGATACTGCCCATATAAACAGTCAATATAGACATATATATATATTTTGTCTGTGTGTGTATGTTATTTAAGGAAACCTCCTTTGCATAGACATTGTAGAGGTAAGTGCATGTATTTCATTTTAAAATTATCATAAGGGAGGCATTTTAATTTTTCTGTATAGTTTAAGGTCTGGATCTGACTTTATCTCTTCCTTATGGATAACTAACTGTTCTCACTATTCTACAGTCCTATTTTACTCCATGTTTCAGTGCCACAAGGGTCATATGCCAAGCTCTTATATAAAGATTGTTCTATTTCTAGCCTCCTCAGTGTATTGACCTCTTCGTATATTCTTACGATAATGCCAACTATTTGAATAATGATAGTTTCATAGAAAATATAATATGATCATTAAAATCCTTTCATTATATTTATATTTCATTATTTCTAATTGGCTTACCCACAGGACTTTCTGCAGGCCTGCAAGTGAGTTAAGATTAGCTCATCAAGCTTTATGAAAATGGCACTGGACACTATTGTGTGTTACCTATTATCCTACTTCCTTTCTTCCTGGACACAGAGTTTAACTAAATTTCTAGTCATATGGCCAGTATCAGTCATTGTTTTGTGAGCAGGAATACTGCACCCACTTCCAGGCCAGCTGTAAAATCCCCCATTAATGGCATTCCAAACCCCTTTTACTTCCAGACAATTACAGGTAACTGCAGAGACCCTACTATCCTATTTGTGCCTAAAAGATGAAAGACTTTTAACAGGAAGCATCCTCCTTCTGAACATAAGTAAAAAACAGACCTATATTGTGTCTGTTTTTTTTCCCTATTTTTCATGGTAACTAATAATCCCTAGGTTACCACAGAGTTCTTATGAGGTTCTAGTTGAAAATGAAATGGATGGAGGTGGGTGGACATCTCATCGTTGCACAGAGTCTTCATTTCTATTAATTAATTCTTTTGTGACTTTAAATAAGATTCCATTTTTCCTATTTTTTTGCATATCATTTAAAAATATAGTCTCTGGATTATTATAGTTCTTCTTACCATGGAAAATGCATTTTTAAAGTCTTATATTTTTAGAAGTTTTCAGGAGCTGGAAATGTAGTTTTTGCTAAAGCACTTACCTAACATATGTGACACCCTGAGTTCAACCCCTAGCACTGGAAAAAAATTACACACACACACACACACACATACACACAAACATAATTGTGATGTATAGGGGGTTGTATTTTTAATATATATATTTTATTTTATTTATTTTTATAAAATTTAACTTATATAGTCATATATTTTGGAGAGTTTTAATAAATTATATAATTGTGGACTATGACTAGGCCCCACCAACAGAACATGTTCATCTCCCTAAAATACTCCCCAGCAGCCCTACATAGTCACTTCCTGTTTTCATTACCACCACTAGTCAGTCACTAGGCTGTTTGGTGTCTGTAGCTTTGCCTTTTCTAGAAAATGCCTACAAATGAAAGTATGACTATGTCATCCTCTCTTAGATATTCTAAGTATTAAATTTGAAAATTGGTTTAATGTCATCCTTTTGATTGTTCCACCTTTAATTTCTTTTCATTCTCTTTGTTTAGTGGTTACCTCTCCACATTGAGGTACTGGTGATGGAACCCAGGGCCTCACAACATGCTAAGCAAGTGTTCTTCCACTGAGTAACACCTTCCCCTCTTCTTAAATTTTGAGACTTTGTCTCACTAAATTGCTCAGGTTGGCCTCAAATTTGTGATCTTCCTGCCTTAGCCTCCAAAGTCACTAGGAATACAGGCAGGTACCTCTGGGCCCAGCTCAGGATTATCCTTTGTTAACATAATCCTCACTTAAAAATCTGAAGTTAACAAATTTCTCAGAGTAAGCAAGGAATTAAAAAGCTTTAACCGTTCTTAGTCCTGTCCTACACAACTGTTGTGCAAATCCATGATACAGGCATTAAAAAATTATGATCAGTACATTGTATTTACCCACCGACTTATCAATTTCTTTGTTCATTATTGCCTCTGGATACAACTGCATCCTGGGCCCAGTTGGTTTTTTCAAAGTCCCTATTTTGTTATTTATCTGAAAAAGTGTCTCCATTTTGTCCTCATTCTTCGTTTTTTTTAATTCATTCTTTATTTTATGGTGCTGAATATCAACCCAGGACCTTCTGCATGTTAGGCATATGCTGTATCACTGAGCTACACCTGCAATTATTTGTTCTCATCCTTTAATAATCAGTTAGTAAATGTAGAATTATTGGCTCATCAGTAATGTCTTTCAAGATATTGGGATATTAGTTTGCTATTTTTTGCTTTTGTTGAGAAGTCATAGGTCTATCATCTAATTTTAGATTTTGTGACTTTGTTTTCTCTCTGTTTTCCTCAAAGAAGTTTTCTTTTATTTTCATATTATATGTTTAGGTGTAAATCTATTTTGATGTAGCATACTGAAGTTTTACTGTATTTTCTGTCTGAGGATGCATGTCTTTCATCAATTCTGCTAGAATTTCATCCTCACCTTATTCCTTTTCCACAATCTTTTTGTATTGCACCAAAATGTGTTGGCACATTCATTGGGCATTCTTGCCCTATCTTCCTTTCCTCTTAAATGTTTTATATCATGTTTTCAATTTATCCTTCATGCTCTATTTCAGGCCATTTCTTCAAATATATAATCTAAGCTTCCCAATTCTCTCCTCATTTGAATCTATCCAGCTTCTAACCTCTACCATAAAGACTTTGGTACTTTGAAGATTATATTTTTTATTGACTTTGAACCTGTAAAATTTGCACTAGACTAGAAAACAAAATCATCTCAAATAGACTTCTGAGTTAAAGGTACCTCAAGACAATTCAGTTTATTTTGGTCAGAAATTTGCCTGAAAATCCTCTCAGCATGTCATAACTTCCATTAGCCTGAGTCATTGGTTCTAAATGGGGAGCAACTTTGCCCCTCAGAGGCTATTTGGAAGTATCTGGACATTTTTGGCTTTTACAGTCAAGAAAAGAGGAAAATGCTATATGCATTTTAGTAGATCTGTTGTTCACTGTTCCTCAGTGAACAACACACACTCCTGTCACATACACACACCCATACACACATACACACACACACACACACTTCATAGTGCCAATACTGAGAAACCCAGCTCTCATCTCACCAGTTAGATTTAAACTCAATAATTTCCCCAATTATATAAGCAAACTGATTTACAAATTCCATTTCAGTTTGAAGTTGGTTGTGTTCTTTGATGCACATTTGCATTAGATGGGTACAATTTACTGCCTTTGATTGCCTGCAAATTTCAGGAAGTGAAGACCTTCAAAGAATGTAACAACCTTACAGAACACAGGAGGATATAAGCTTTGGACACACCCTGAGAAAGCCAATGGATTTTTTATTTTCAGTGAATATTTATGTGTGTGTATTTCTTCAGGAAAATTGTTGACAATCTTTTCCAAGAGAAGACGACCAGTTCAGACCTTGTGCTATGAATGTTTTCCCACAACCATGGGCTTCACTTGGTTCCTTTTCAATAAGCATATCTCAAAGAGAAACATGCAGGCACTGACAAATGAGAAGGTGGCAGTCAGGATTCCTAGTGGGAATACATAGGAGAAGTGCTTCTTTATTAGATATCGTTTGCTAACAGGAAAGGTAGTTGGAAAGTCAAGGGTTGTCTGGCCATAAAAATCCTTGGCAAAGTTCCAGCTCACTGCACCAGCTGTACAACCACAGCTCAGGAAAAGATAGAAGGATGAGATATTGTAACACATTTTCAGGTAATCTGGGAATGGGGCTTTGATCCAGTTTAGCATGATGGCCATTGAGGTGAAAACCAAGACTACTGTCTTCATAAAATTAGCCAACAACATTAGGTCCTGCCCATATTGAAGTTCAATCGAAATGACCCAGCTCTTGTTGATAGTGCTGTGCATTGGAAAATCAACAATTGTACCAGAGACATTAAGCTTTTGATAATAATAAGCTTCCCAAAGTCCAATGAACACAAACCGAACCTTCTTGCTCTTGAATTCCCATATGCGCCAGGATTTGCTGTTGGCTAGGCTTACCCCAAAAACCCATGCCAAATAACTGCAAAGAAGGCCAATCGTTTTGCATATCCATTTCTTCACTTCAGGAAAACTGTAGACGAGTCATGAAGTCCAGCCAGGACCACAAAAGGGTGTAGGAAAACAAACTGTTAGTATGAGTAATGGTTCAGAGCATGGCCAATATTTATATGATATTCTTCTTGTATAAAAGATGTTTATGTGTTTCTAATGTGTAATATTCTTCTAAATATTTAAAATATTTTATTTCTTCAAAAAAGAAAAAAAGAAGCCTAGAAATCCATGATTATGGCAGGAATATCAATTTGTCCATGACTTCAGAGAAAATTTGGAAATAGCTATTAAAAGCCAAAATGTGCTACTTATCTGGCAACACTAAATCTGAGAATTGAAGCCAAGAGTCTGCAAATGCATATGTAATGGGATGTCTGTTTCAGCATCATTTGCAATAGAGAAAAATTGGATAACCCTATGTGCCAATCAACAGATGAATACTCAAACACATTACAATTGTGTGAGATTGCAGTGGAATATTATGTGGTTATTATCAAGAATGAGTTAATCTCTATGAGCTGGAGAAAGAAAGAAAAAAATGAATAATGATACATATGGAATGACAATTTGTGTCAAAAGGCAAACATACCTGATTTTCTTATATATACAAATAGATATGAACATCAGTTTTTAAATTTTAAAATATGCATACAAAAGAAGTAACAAAAGTAATTCTAAGGGTAAGGTAATTCATTTTTTACATTTTTTTACATAGTTTGTATATTTTTTAATGAAAAGTTTACATACATTTATAATTAAAGCCAGAGCAAATATAGCCTTAAAGATCCATATGGAAATCATGGTAAATCATGTCATTATATTTTACCCACTGTTTGCTCAAATTCAAACTTTAGATAGTTTGGCTTCTTTTTGATGCAAATTAAAAAATATTCAGGTGTATTTTACATGAAGCAAATGTCTTCTATGAAGCTAAATTTATGTCACATTTATTCCATGAACAACTTATGTGGATATCTGGTCAATTTCAGGTGTGTTAGTAATAATAAAAAATTACCCCGAGAGAACCTCCCTTTGTGGTTTAGCAGAAAGCATAGAAAGCATAATGTAGGTCCAAAGTCACTAGGCATGTGGCACAGAACAGGAAGAAGATTTTAGGGGCTTCCAAATAATTACTTTATTACTACAAAGCTTTGTATCTGTAACACATACCCATTTCCACAGTCTTCTGTGAAATATGCTTCTAATTATATGAAAGCTGCAGTTTAACTACTTGGGAAGTTACAGCAGAACAAATTGCTAGTTTGGTTAGTTTGCTGTCCATGAGCAAATCCCTGGAATGCTGGCCTGAGGGAATGGACCTAGGATCAGTAAACTTTGATGGAGGGAAGGAATCAGAAAGGAGAGTGTTATAGCTGCCAGGGAAATGTGCTAGCTTGGGGAAGGTTTGGTGCTTTCCATATCTGAAACAGGGTGTGGGACATGTTTTTCCAAAGACCAAATTTCAATAAGCCTATATAACTTATTTAAAATTTACCCATGTGTTTTGTAGGTGAATTCACACATTTGGAAGATGTTTGGATAACAGATGTTCTTTGGAGAAGCAGGAAATGTTGGTCAGGGAAGGGGAAATATCCCGCCAGAATGAAAAGTTACACAAAAGAGATGAACCACCTACAGGAAAAGAAGAGTCGTTAGATAGAATTTGGAACTCTAAACAAACACTAACAAATTCCTGGCTACAACACAATAGTCTTTACATAATCACTCTATCCTTTGGATAGGACAGGCCCCAAACACTTGCAAATATTAATACATCCCCATGTATTCATATGATAGCCTTACATTATGTTCTTTGTTTTAGAGTTGAGGGAATGGAGCAAAATGTTGTTGAATAAGATGCTCATGTATATTCAATAAGTTGCATAGATTTATGTGGAAGTGCAGTCTCTACAGCCCTCACAGTTAGACAAAGTACAGTTTGGCTCTCTTCATGGGGAATAGTATTTTTTTCTCATGAAGCGTATCAACAAATAGATAAGCCCTATGTCAATTATAAAAACAGTCATTCATGCCATTCATTGTCCTGTGAAAATGAAAGTATGCCCTAGTGATAGAAGCATATTGAGGGGAAAAAATTTACTTCCTGTCTCCTTATCTCAGCTTAAATGGAGACATTTTACAGTGCCATACTTTTATCCAAAATTTAAAAAGTACAGGGAAGTTGTAGAGAAATTTGACACCTGTGTATTGCTGGTGGTAATACAAAATGGGTGTAGCTATGTGAAAACTGGACAGTGATTCCTCAAAAAATCTAGATTGAGCATGTGACCCAGCAAGCCAAATTAATGGCATGTGCCTCAAATTTTCCAGGCAGGTTTCTTGGATATATGTACAGTTATAATCATAGAATTATTCACAGTAATGGAAAAGTGATTCCAATTCAAATGTCCATTGATGAATAAACAAAAGGCTCCATGTATAAAATGCAAAAGAAGAAAACTCTGACATTTGGTATAACATAGGTAGACTTTGAAAACAGAGTGCTGAGTGAAATGTGCCAGTCACAAAAGGCTAAATACAATATGGATCCCAGTTATACAAACTCCCTAAAGGAGTCAAATTCATGGAGGCAAGAAGTAGAATGGTGGTTGCCAGGGGCTGGAGAGGAAGAAATGGGAAGCAAATAGGGACAGAGCTTCAGCTGGGGAAGATGAAAATGTTCTGGAAATGGATGTAAACAATTAAATGTATTTCATAACATAAAACATGTAGATTTGAAAATGGTTAATATATCAGCTTTATGTTTCCTATGTTTTACCATACTAAGAAAGTAGCACCTCAAAGGGCAGATGCTTTATTTGTCAAGAGCAAATAAATTTTCAATTTATAGAATGAAAGGTTAATAAAATAGGTACTTGTCACTCTGTTTTTCTGTGTGCTTAACAAAACACTGTTGAAATCCTGAGAACTGTTTGCTAATCTTGTTCCCAGAATGTGCTGTTCCCAACTGCCAAACTGCAGGATGCACTCCCTCACTCGGTTGCAGGCAAACTGCCCACTTGCCCTGACCCATCAATGAACTTCCCTCCCTGCCCTCTCCAGGGAAAGTATATAAGCTCTGCTTAAGCTGTTCTCAGGGCTCTTTGCTCTATTCAAGTGAGTTCTGAGCCCCATCATGCTGGTCTCCAAATAAACCCTTTTTGCTGTTGCATGAGACAGTCTCTTGGTGGTCTCTTCCTCTGACGTTTCGCAGGTCCCTTACAGAAGGATGGTCACTTTATGGTTTTGTATTGCCATCACTTCAGTTTCCCAGCTATGAGTTAATCATTTACACCTGGCCTCACACACTCAGATTCATGACTGTTTACATTAAGAGAAAAGAGATGGTAAAGATAGTATTACTCAATGTCATGAGTTATCATTTACATTCAGAGTAATACTCAGATGCCCTCAGTTAAAAAATGCCAACTGTAAAATCAGTAGGCCCTAACCAAAAATATAATGAGGATCCTTTACAAAATAAAAATGGCCCCACCTGACCGATTTTGTGGTTCCATCCAATGTCAATCAAGCCTCTTCATGGAGATGATGAAATGCTGAAACCAAAAGGACATCTGGAAATGTTAAGAATCTCTTTAACTGGGGAAAAACAAGAAGTCACCACAGTTACCCCAAGGAATATTCAAAATGTGAAGGAGGATTTTTCAGAAGTACAAATTAGAGTAACCACCAAATTGTAAGGGAAATAAGTAAATCAAAACATTCTTATGTTTCTATGACTACTCTTGGCAGACAATTCCAAGCAATATACTTATAAAGGACTGGAACAGAGAAGGAGTTGAGAAATATTTCTGGAACAGAAATTACTTCCTAAAAACTGTTACCTGATAGTGCTTAAAGTTTTGTAAATATATGTAGTTTTCATTTCATACTTACTATGGTCAAAATTCTAGAAATTCCCACATAAAGTGAACCAGGAATAAAAGTGAGCAGAGAGGAGAGAAGACAGATAGGGATAATGAAGAGGGAGAAACTATAGTTTTTGTTGTTTTACTTGTATGTTTTGCTTCTTTTCACTTTATATTTGAGGTATAATTTCCATAGAACAAAATACACAAATCTTAATGTGAAAATCAATATATTTTCACATCGTTTTATACCTTGTAACCTATACTTGATCAAGATACAGAATATTTCCCTCTGCCAAAAAGTTCCTGTGTGGCCTCTTGCCGGTCATGAGCCACCATGTCCTGCCCATCACCCAGATATAATCACTATTTGGATTTTTCTTATCAGTTGCTTTTGTGTGACTCTGATTGGAAAACACAGAGTGACTTTTTCTCCATATGCTTTTTAAATTTAATCTGTATTGTTAAATGTATCAGCATTTTATTTTTGCATAGCATTTTATGGTAGAAGCATGCACAATTTGTGTGTCCATTTTCTATTGAGCGACACTAGGTTGCCTTTAGTTGGGGCCAATGAGGAAAAAATTATTAAGATTAAAAATAATCCATATTCTTCTCCTTTAATTGTGTTTATGCTCAAAAAGCAGTAGGAAATTTATATTTTTCAAAATTATGTTTCTATAAGTCATGTAAATGAGTAGAAGTTATAGGGGCATTTGACCATTACCAAAGAAAATACCATTGTCACCTGCCCTGATTTTCTCAGTTGAGCAGACTCCCTCTTAGGAGTCAAGAGAACCTGAGGAAGGGCAAACAGTTGGAATCTTCTAAGCTCCCTAAATCCTGCCTCACTCTTTTAGAGCAAGAGTAGGCATCCTAAGGGGGATGGAAACACTGAGATTATTGGAGGAGGTACGGAACATCCAATAAATCTTTTGAAGAGAATCTCAAGTAATTAACGCCTCTATTTCTCCTTCCTTTGGCAGCATGGCAGAGAACTGACAGGAGCTATGGATCAGAAGAAAAAACTACAGTGCTGAGGGTATCTGTAGATAAGAAGACTTGGGGTTTTTCCTCCAGCTTTAACCTCTGATGAGCGGGGAGTCACTTAGAATCTCTAGACTTTAGTCCTTCATGTGAAAGACAGGAG